GTAATGTAGTGAAAAGTATAAGTAAAAATCTATGCAGTTTGAATGACATTGTTTTACATTTTGGTAAACTTTGAAGGTTAAATTCACTTAAAATAATATAAACAACCAAGTGTAGGATAAATTTAGACTGGCTTTGTGAAACAGGCGTATCCTATTGGTGTTGATGAACAAGCCCAGGCAAGACCCGACTGTGTAGTCAGTAGGCAGGGTCAAAACACTTGCGTTTCTCTCGCTCATTTTTTCCATTTTTTTTCCTTTACTTAGTAACTAAAGCAAACATTGAAAATGTAGTGAAGTAAAAGTGAAAGTTCTCAAAAAAAATGTATACTCTTGGAAAGTATAAAGTACTCAAAAATATACTGAAGTACAGTAGTGAATGTTTTTTAATGTTTTTATCAGTTTCTTGCCTTTGTCAGAAAAGTTCAGGCTGAGGATTTTATTATTTTATTTTTGTGTCCCCACAAAAATGAGTCCACACACATAAAAAATGGTGTTTCTTCCATATAAGGACTTTAAATTGACAAACCTTCATTTAATTTGCTGCATTTTGACATTTAAACTCTAAGTTTAACCTCTAAACTGATTCCCGCCACATTAGGACCAGCCTTTGACTTGTTGGTCCTCAGAAGTGTAGTAAATATACCAAAAACTGTCTATAATAAACATGCAGCCCACACACGTGCGCGCGCGCCACCGTCTCCCTTTCCCGCAGTGACGCAGGCGGAAGTGAAAGGAGTGTTTTGTCGGAGCTGCGGTGACATGAGCGCCTCCAGCTTGAACTCCGTCCTGCTGGACATTTCCAACCAGCTTCATGAGGACAACCTGGAGAAGCTGAAGTTCCTGCTCAGAGATGTGATCAAGAAGCAGAAGATGGAGAAGATCCACAGCGGACACCAGCTGTTCGAGGCTATGGCGGAAAGAGGCCAGCTGGGAAGCGACAGGACAGACTTCCTGTCCAACCTTCTCAAGGAGATTCACCGAGAAGATCTGTCCGAGCAGCTGGACAGGCTGAAGGTCCGGACTGAGGTCCCCAGCGGCGGCCTCACTGACTCAGAGAGAGGTAAACTGGCCCTTCATCACTGCTGCTTTAAGGTGGACCAGCAGATGGCGCTGTTAGCCAGGCAGAGCAGCGGCCTGACCTCTGTTATTCCCTGGATTACTGACTGCTGATCTGTTGCTAGTTTTTTTTGTTTTGTTTGTTTTTTTATGCTTTATTGGCAATTCCGTGTAACATTACAGAATAAATCAAACATCAAACACAGATATACAACATTTGGTGACATTATAACTTTAAGAAAAACGAGACATAGAAGGTGATAAATAAATAAAAATAAAACAAGGGAAACAAACAAATAAATAAATAAAATAAACATAAAATAATAATAGCTAGGGGTTTACATTGAGTTTACGGTCATTTACAAAAGTGTATAATTTTATACCATTTTTCTTCTTCATAAATTTAAGTAATTGAAAATACAAACAAAGTTCTTTGGGAAAAACGTTGAAGTTTGGCTTGGTCCTCATGTATTTGTTTTTGTGAATGTAAAATGTCCCCATCATGAGTAAAACATTAAAGGCTAGGTCCTGCAGGTTATCTGGTATTTCTATTCCAAACAAAACATTCTCTTTGTCCAGATGAGAAGGAGAATCAAATTTAGATGAACACCAATCTGTTGGTAGTACAGGCTGGAGTGAAGCCACAGGCCGCCATATTGGTACTCCCTGCTTAGACATGTCAGAATATAAACAATCTGTGCGCTACAGCATCAAACAACCATGATGTTGTGATTTTCAGGGAGACTGAAGACTTTTAAAATAAGTTTATCCCTTTGATCCAGACTGGCTGTTTAACAGCATCAGTAGATTAACTTTAAATTAGAATAATAATAAATAGGCCCATCACATTGCAGAGTCATTATGACGTCAATGAAGTCTATAAATCATATAATATAACATATTATGCAAATAAATCTCTATGTTTGCAGGTTGTGCATGATGCCATATACTGCTACGCTGTCTCTGTGCATTAGCCTTTAAAAATGTTTGAGTTCCTTTCTTTTCGTCAGTATAACATATTTCAGCACATGATTATTTTCAAATGAGAAATACAATATACTTTCTATTTATTTAACTTTCTATTTCCTCTACTTTCTATNTAAACAATCTGTGCGCTACAGCATCAAACAACCATGATGTTGTGATTTTCAGGGAGACTGAAGACTTTTAAAATAAGTTTATCCCTTTGATCCAGACTGGCTGTTTAACAGCATCAGTAGATTAACTTTAAATTAGAATAATAATAAATAGGCCCATCACATTGCAGAGTCATTATGACGTCAATGAAGTCTATAAATCATATAATATAACATATTATGCAAATAAATCTCTATGTTTGCAGGTTGTGCATGATGCCATATACTGCTACGCTGTCTCTGTGCATTAGCCTTTAAAAATGTTTGAGTTCCTTTCTTTTCGTCAGTATAACATATTTCAGCACATGATTATTTTCAAATGAGAAATACAATATACTTTCTATTTATTTAACTTTCTATTTCCTCTACTTTCTATTTTCTAATGTTAGACCCAATGTCAGTGTCTAACTCAGTCAGTGTCTTCCAGTCAGTCTGAGATAGCCAGACTAATGTTAGTCTGCAGACTAAACTATAGGATCCATGGGCTATAGATGGATTTACTGCTTAGTTCATCCACTGACTGGGAAATGACCTGAGGAACGTCTTCCTGCAGACAGAAAACTGCTGGTTTCTGCAGCCAGATGCTGCACAGGGAGGAGTTTTACTGCGCGTCTCTGTGGGAGTGGGGAGTACCAAGATGGCGGCCAATGGCTTCACTTTTTCGGGGCAGTCAGTGATCCAGTGCATCAATAGAGATCAGTGGATTAGACAGCCTGGAAACTCCAGGAGCTCCACAGAGTTTGAAGGTTTTCTCTCTGAAAGTCAGCCTGGTCCTTCTGCTTAAAGCTCCACCTTTGGTTTCTATGGCAACAGTTATTATCAACAATGACCTGGCCTTTCTGATTGGCCATTTAATAGCTGGTTCTAATTGGCTGCTTTTCCTGATAATCAAAGTTAAAATAGAAAATGTCAGAATTTGTGATTCGAGAAGAGCAGCAGTGATGGTATTTACGCTAGCCTTTAGCAACCGTGGCGAGAACGGTCCAAGCACAGTAACCAAGGTAACCGTTGAGTGTAAAGAAACTGGACCATGCCAGAATTAACCAAACCGTTCATCAGTAGGGCTCGGCGCGTTCACCTGTGGATCGGTCCTCTGATATCACAGCAGACCGCATCATCTCCTATTTACAGTCAGCTGACTCATTTCGCCGGTTTTCCGGCGTGTTCGGCTTTGTGGTTCACAGGTCTCTGCACCTGTTCACAACACGAACCTCATTGCAGCTTTTTAACAATAAATGGCATCAGAGGAGCGAGCGAGTGAGGAGGCAGCAGAGGTCAGAGGACTCTAAGAAAACAAATTCAATCATTTTAGGATATTTTCTGAAAGACCTTTAAAGCTACCGTCCAATAAAAGACCTTTGATGTTTTGATTGGATTAATAATCTTATTAATTAAGCAGAAATCTGGCCTTCATCTGGTATTTTCAGTAGCTGAATTTATATCAGCATTACTTAAATACTTTAATTAATAGACTTTTATTAAGAAATTTTTCACCAAACTAAAACATTTGAATCCCAAAAATTAGATGTTAAAGAAAGGAGTTTTATTTATTTTATGATGTCATGGCAGCCAGAGCCTGATGTCAGGGTCTGATCCACGAGCTTCACTCTCACCATTTATTGCAGGGATGTTAAAAACACTGAGGGCCGGACTGGTTAAAGGTTTATTAAAACATATTGAAATGAACCTATTGAACCAAGACCTAACATATTTTTTTAAAACAAAACATTAATATCAATATTATTTGTAAACTTTTATTATATTAATCAACTTATTAAGATAAACATATAAATGAAAGTGCATGCTTTATAACCTGAAGCTGCATCACTGCTCTATGGTACCATCACTGCTTTAAATAGAACAAAAATCTAATCTGTTTTATTCTCTCTCGGCTCTTTTTTTATTTAGTCCATTCAACTAGAAAATATGAATAAATAAAATACGAAAATCTATGGCACACAGACAAAACAATACTTCCTTCAAAGAAGAATCACATCTTGTAAAAAGAAATGTAAAAATGTTGATAAATTACAGCAGCGGATCCAGAATTCAGCCACAGGTTCTTTAAAAAAAGGAAT